AATATTTGTATATATATATATATATTAAAATAAAAAAAATCTACTTATTTAAGGAGTAAGTCTACCTAAATTTATTCCACTAAATAATTTATATTCTACAACAAATTTTAATGATTCAATGTTTAATTAGAAGTTCTTAATGTATAAATAAATTTTATAAATTTTTTAAAAATTTAAAAACTATTTAATACTTTGTTCTCATTAATTCAAATTAACGTATAAATATTTTTATGATTATACATCAATTTGAGTTTACGAAATAAAGTATCAAATAATTTTCAAATTTTTTAAAAATCTGTAAACTTGATCTATATCTTAAAAACTTTTAATTTAATTTAAATGAATTATTAAATAAAATAAATATATATAAACTTAGTAAGTAAATTCATTCTTAAAAAAAAATATACAAACTAATATGCTAATTTTTATTGTATCTTATTTTAATACGTGAAATAGTTAACTTAGCATCATTTATAAATATAAAAAAATACACATATAGTAGAGTTAGAATATAGTACTTCTGACACATGACCTAACATTACGTATGGATTATGTAATGTGCAACCAAAATATCTCGTGGATTTTATCGGTTGTGATAATGGTGTTCAATCGGCGACGAAGGAAGAGTGTTATCTTCAACCTTCTTATGATAATAAAAAGGAAAAAAAAAATAGTGTTATACAAATGTGGTCAAAGTTGTTATACTTTTGTCTTAAATAAATTTGATAATAAAATTTTAAAAATATGCAAATATAACATTTTTTTTAGTCTTCAAGTCATTTATTAAAGAGTATAAATACCAAATCATTTTAGTTAATAATTTTTTTTATGTAAATTTAATTATTTTGTTATTTACTTTATTATTTTTTTTAAGTTAGAATTAAATTTACATGCTTTCATTTCTTTATGGATTATTTTTTTTAATTTAGTGACCAAAGTTATGATATAAAAGTACATGACTTTGATCACATTTAAAATGTATAAACGAAAATCAAAATTTTCCTAATTAAAAAAATTCTCATATGCCTTAAAAAAACTAAAAGGAAGAAAAGAATGTATCATTTGCTATGTTCATGATGCCACTTATTAGTTTGTATTGGTCTTAGTAGATTTTTTTTTTTCCGATATCCTTGTTTTATCTGCCACGTCAAAGTACGTACTCCATAAATTCAATGCTTGATCAAATTTCGCATAAGATTTTTTTTTCAGAAAATAAAAATAAAAATAATATATACATATATACATTATGGAGCAATCTACTAGTTATACTTCACTCAATAATTTATATTTTATATTAAATTTTAAAGATTTAATTGTTGAATTAAAAGTTCTTAATAAATATATAAAATTTACAAATTTTTAAAAAATTTAAAAATTATTTGATAAATTCATTTTATTAATTCAAATTAATAGATAATTATAAAAATATTTTTTTATGTTGATTTAATATATATATATAATTATCAAACTATCATATGATTTTTATTTTTTTTAAAAAATTTGTAGATTTACTCTTGG